AGGTCATTTACATAAGAGAAGAAGAAGAAAGTTATTACTCGTTGGATTCTGGGAAAGTGATTGGTTGTGCTTAAAGGATTACTCCGGTCCTCAGCTGCAGCCTTCATTCCCTCCAGTATAGCCTGTCGCTGAACGATAAAGAGATCGGTGCCAGTCACATGATCCAACTTTAAAAAACTAATGAAAGAACAGATGAACTTATACTCATAAAACATATAGCTTGCATAAGGAGACTTCAGGAGTTACCATCTCTAGACTCATATGAGCAAGAAATCCGAAGTTCCTCAGTCTAGATGATGCTGCAGGAACCCGGCTAGAAATGTGACTCCTACATTGTCTCATTTCACGGGAGTAGAAAGCTTGAAGAATGTGTTTGGAGCTGTCTGAGTGAATAAGTTATTGAAGAACTTTTCTACTTGGAAAGTACAACAAGTTATCACTAAAGGAACAACTTCCTACAGTATTAAAAAAGTTTTTGGAACTTCTACAATGGATATCTAAAAGCATTGAAATAATACCAAGAAGATAGCGTAATAAATTTCTTTGCACTAACATAAGTCATCCTAAACTAACTAAATTAGTATATATGCTTTAGAAAGAAAACTTTCATCGGGTGAAGAATCGTCAATTTCAAAAACTAACTAGGCATGATTTGATTATTCTAGATTTTAGATGATGTTGAACTAAAAGATTCCCCAAAAGAACCAAGAAAGACAATTTCTGGTTCTCCATAAACATTTCTAGAGCAAGCACCATGATTCTTTGAGTTGAAAATTATTTCAATTATATTCAAGTCAAAATCAAAATTAGACAATTGAATCTATTCAAATCACCCAATTCCCAATCGACTGGCTCAAAAAGAAAGCAGGTTTTACGAAACAGGTTTGAGAATTTCTAAAAGAAGAGAAAGAAAAATGGGGTAAAGGTGGGTTCCCTTTCTTCCCAAGAAAACCTTTCTTCACCTGCCCCTTGTTTCATTGTGGAAAATGAAAGAACGCAAACTAATCTCTTCTTTCTGACGATGAAGGAAGATGGAACCAAAGTTAAAAATATTCGTTGAAGCGGGAACGTTTTATAAAGGCTATTTGGAGGGCCCTGTGTGGGTTGGGTCCGAAGAAAAAGAAGAGAGAGAAAGACTCGGGCTGGGCTATTTTCCGGCCTGGTTTGGTTCATTTCTGGGCCTGACCGGGGAAGAGCAAAACTAAAACAAAAGAAAGAAAAGGGATGGGGCTAATTGTGTTTTCAGGTTTTGGCTAATTTAGTTTTTAGAATTTGGAATAATTTGGGTTTGAACAAAACTAAAATATAGATCTATAGAACAGTAGAATATTTATTTATCTAATTATAATTGTATAGTATAATTATATATGCATGTATATATATATATATATATTGAAAGTTTTCTCAAAAAATTTTAGGAAGGTTGAAGAGGCTATCTTAGTTAAGGAAAGGAAAAGAGTAACCTAGGTTTGAGACACTTGTGCGAGCTGAGATGGAGAAGGTTAGGTTCTGATTAAAAAGAAGAGATGAGGGTTTGTTTCTAGCTTCCATAGAGGGAGGAAATGAAGATTAAGAAGGGAATTCGATGAGTAACAATTCCAAAGACAATTAGTGAAGAAGGAAATTGAATGAAAGATTGCCCAAAAAATAGGTATATTGAATTCTAAATTTCCTTTTTTTCATTTATTTGTTTTTCAAGTTTAAATTTATGTTCTTTTGGACACCATTTTATTTTATGTTTGGAAGTGAGATGAACAAAGAACGAATTGGTATAATCTGTTTGTGTGAAACGACATGATAATTTCATATGCGTTTTATTATTTTTATATTAGATGTAACTTGTACAAGCGAGGATCTGCATATTGTTTTTGGAATTAATTTGATTCCATTTTCAGGTTGGGTTAAAGTAGGTTTTCTATTCTTATATTATTAAAGTGGTAAAGAAAAATGAGTAGGCAAATTTGTTAAATTCCTAGGATTTGTTGATTTTGTGTATTAGTTGAGGAATGTTATTTTCATATGTATTATTTTTTTATTCATGTTTTAGATTGATGTCTTCAGTTGGTTTTTTATTAGAATTTAAGACACTACTGTGTTTTAGGAAGATAAATAATATGAATAATTAGTATTAACATGTTCTATAAATATATTTAGATAAATATAATTGGTTTCTTTAATTTGGGGTTTGAACCTTAGTAAATATATTCAATATTTCTTTTTAAGTATAGTTAATTTTTCCCTTCCATATTAAAGAAAAATATTTAAAAAATCAGAAATAATGGGAGCAGGTCTTGGAAAGGTATCTTTATGTGTCTTTTTTTTTTTTTTTTCTTTAAGAACATTCTTTTAAAGAGGAAAGGTATATTATGGTAATCAGAGTTCTGATTTGGGATAAGTTATTGGTTGGAATTGGATTGAACTTTTTATTTTCCTGACAAGAAGAAGTAGCTTGAACATTTTATCATCTGATTTTCTACATTCCAAGTGGATGGGTATGACTTAAGTGTTGTTATCTATTCAACCAAGAGGTCTTGCCTTAGTGGTTATTCCTCCTACCCTTTTCAGTAGGTAAAGTTTACTCCTGGATTATACTCCCAATTTATGTGGGGATAAAAGAGTAGCTATTCATTTGCTTTCCTGAGCAGACTGTCAGTTGAAAGTATTCTTCTTATGCTTTTAGGATAAAATTGGTATTCTATTTGTAATTGGTATCTTCTATTCAAGTTGAATTGCATTTACAAACCTGGTATTGGGTTAGAGTCCGTACTGATGGATCTTGTTATGGGACAATGAACATAGAATTCTTTAGGAATTTTTTGAATGTCTAAGAGTTTTTCTTTCTTCACCTTCCTTTTGTCTAACCGAGTTCGTTAATAGTGAACACAACAATCTCTTCAGTAGGAAAGTACTCAAACTCTGATTATTATTTACCATGCATAATCCTGTTCAAAGACAGCAGTAGACTTTATACAATGGAAACATGTAATTATCCCAGAAGTTCTGTATATCTAGAATTTATTAACTACCTTCTTGTTTGATCCTTGACTTATTCTTATACTAGTAACTACCAACACTTAATAAATAGACTGCAGAATGTTTTAAAAGATAAAGCACTCTAATGCATCTACAACTAATTAGTGGTGAGAATTTTCTTTCTTCATTGATAAACCTTAACAAAAAAATGTGTTACTTATTGTATTGTCCTCAACATATTTTAGTACGACGACCATCTCCCTTCATTGTTGTGTTGGTATTGGGTACTGCAGGATGTTGCATTGTTTGTAGGGGCACATGATGTTGTTAGAGGCAGGACTCCTTCAAGCAGAAGTTTGACACTCTTAACCAATCCGATGATAGTTCAGGAAAATGAACCCCGCATAATTTACTTAATCAATTATATCTTATAATATATATATATATATATATATATTAAGAGGTTGAACAAAACATTTTATTTGTAAAACTTAGGTGTGCTTGTTTTGTGTGTGTGTGTGTTTATATATATAGATATATGCAGCTTCTCAAAAAATAAGGAGATAGAGAATCTATATTAGATTAGATGTCTTTTTTGTGTGTCAAGATTTTGATTCTTTTATTCACCATTCATGAAATGATCATTACTACATCAATTGGTTTGTGTAGACTTAACTAGCAAAATATTTTTGTATTAGAAATTTCTTACCAATTCATCCTGTCAACAGTCTCTCAATTTCTGTATCTATCATATTATCTCAATATCCAACCACTCTGATTCCCTGCTCGGAGCAATCTCTCTCGCATCTGTACCAGCTTTATTTATGCAGTCAAAGAGTCTGACCTTGACCGTGATTTTTAATTAAAAAAGAACGTTAAAAATAAAAACCAATTGCAGTACCATAATTCACTCCATTTTTAATTATGGAAATCTTGGCAGATCCATCTCTCAAATCTTGATAGATCCATACTCACGTTCACTCAATTATTGATGTGATCACCATTCGATCAGATAAGAAACTTCTTTCCTTTCTGTCTTCCACGAGGAAGTGAGGTATGGTGCTGGAACTGGGTTTTAATTTTTAATTTTTTTACGATTGTTTTTGTTTTCCTCATTTCACGAATAGTTTGTATTTCTGGATTATGCCTTCAATTTGTTTGAAAGGCACTAAGATGATGATGACATAATTGAAATAAGCATTGGTCCCTCTTCATATGCCTCTGTTGAAGATTGAGTTTTTCATGAAATAAGATGTTGACTTTTTTGTCGTTTCAGCTCCATAATTATCTATTTCTACTCTTTTTTTTTTTTTTAATGTTGATAGCTTTAGATGGTAAGCTGTCAAATAGGAATGAAGCTTCATAATTTTTTGTTCAGCTCCATATTTTACTGATTTAATGATGATAATTAGCTGGTGACTTAATTTGTAATTTTTTTCCTCCATTATATATATATATATATATATATATATATCAAATTAATGAAAAAATCTAGGTCATTGAACACTTTCTCAGCAGCAGGAAACTCTTATTTTTTTGCATTTTGTCCTCTTCTCTTTTTTCTATATTCTTCCATTTTTCTAAAAATTTAATCCACTCAAATCTCAACAATAGTATCAGAATTGCTGTTCTTGTGGGTTGTGAGGAGTTAAATAAGTTTGTTCTTTGATTAAAGTTCATCAAGTTGGCAGAAAATGACCATGAATGTGAACTTACCTGCACCACCAGTGTTCACAAGAGAAAATTATGATTATTGAGCTGTAAGGATGGAATCATATTTGCTTGTTTATGACTTATGGGCTGTTGTGGAGGAGGATTATGTTAGGGTGCATTTATTTGAAAATTCTATATTAACACAAATTCATTAAGATGCATATGACTCTATAAAGAATTTGAAAGCTTTATCCATTATCCAATTAGCTATATCGGAAGATATTTTTCCAAGGCCTAGTAGGTTTTAGAATGACAAAGAAAGCTTGGGATTATTTAAATAAGGAGTATACTAGAAGTGCAAAGGTGAATGGTGTAAAATTATTAACATTAAAGAGGGAGTTTGAGCTAATGAAGATACAAGAAGGTAAAAGTGTTAAAGACTACTCTACCATAGTTGTGAATCTGGTGAATCAAATCAGAATGATCAAAGGAGACTTCAAGGATTAAAAAGTAGTAGAAATGAAGATAATCAACCTTCCTAAAAGGTTTGAATAAAAACTCTCAGTAATTGAAGAAACATATGATATTGAGAAGCTTACTATTGCTGGACTTATTAATAAGCTACAGACTCAGGAGTAGAGAGTTTCAGTCAGAAATGATGAGATCACTAAAAATGCTTTTCAAGCAAGACATACAAGTTTAGGACCTTAACTTCAAAATATGAAGGTCAATCATCAACAAATAAAAGAAAGCAGCTATAGAGTTCAGAAGATTCATCAGAAAAAAGAAAGTCTTCTCCTTATAGACGTTGTGGTAAATCCAATCATCCTGAGAGTAAGTGCTGAAAGTGTGTACAATGTAAGATTTGCAAAAAGTACGATCATTTAGAAAAGGTGTGCTGAAAGATAAAAAATCAAGCATCACAACAAAAGAATGAGCCTTAACAACAACAACAACCACTTCAATAATAGGAAATCTATTTTACTGAGAACCATAAACAGTAGAAAAGTCATCTTTTCATGATGACTGAGGCATCTTGTGTGAGTGGAAGTATTTACAGTATGAGGACAATGGGTGCACAAGCCATATGACCAAGGATCGTATATTGTTGAGCAACTTGGATATTAATTGCAGAACTAAAGTAAAACTTGGCAATGAGACAGTTGTTGAAGCTCAAAGAAGATGCTCAATACTAGTTCAAACTAAGCAAGGTATCAAACTCATTAACTGATGTGTTTTTTATTTCTGGTTTATATTAAAATTTGTTGAATGTTGTTTAAATGCAAAATAAGGGTTATTTTATTTTGTTTAAAAATGATTACTGCTTTATTTATGATGCTACAAATATGCTAGTAGCAAAAATCAAGAAAAATGATAATAGTTATGTGTTTGGTCTGAAATATGCAAATCAACATGCTTTTATTGCCAAGGATGATTTGATCTGCTTATGGCACAAAAGATTTAGTCATGACAATGGATATATTTGTCGATGAATCAACATTTTGGAATTTGGATAAGAAACAAGTTGAAGCAAATAAGCTTATAGAAGATGCAGTTGTTGCAGCTTCAAGTTTACAAAGTGTTCTTGTTGAAAAGGTTCAATTTGATTCTGCAGAATTTGATGATCTAACTGCAGACACACTAGACACAAAAACTAAGTTATTGGCAGAGGATTATGAAAATTACAATTTGATCATCATTAAACTAACAAACTATAAAGAGTCTAGGACATACAAGGAGTGGCAGCTTGCTATGCAAAAAGAGTTTTTTATTGAACAACCTCAAGGGTTTATAGTTGATGGAAATGCTTATATGGTATATAAGTTGAAGAAGGCCTTGAATGGCCTAGTGAAGTATCATTTTCTTTGTGAAACTGAGAGGGATGGTAAAGTTCATTTGGTGTACTGCAATTCTAATGCAGTAACTGAAAAAAAAAAGAAGAAAAGTGGGGGAAACGATGTCGTTTTGAAGGGGGAAAAACGACGTCGTTTTGAAAGGGAAAAAACGACATCGTTTTGAGGAAACAAGTGAATATAAATGGGGGACGGGAAAGAAAAGAAAGGGGAAAGAGGAAGAAAAAAAAGAAGAAAGAAAAGAGAAAACAGAGAAGGAAGAGAGCGAGAAGGAGAAAAGAAGAGAGAAAAGAAGGTTCGAGAAAGAGAGAGAGGGGAGTCAGAGCGGAGAGGAACGAGAAGGGAGAGAGAAGAAGAAAGAGGACGGTAACAATGCGATTAGCGGGAGGAAAGAAGATGGAAATGGGAGGTACGGTAAAGTTTAAGTTTCATGTGTGGACTTGAGTTTGCAATTTTGGTGAGAAATCTGGTTTGGTTTGAGATATAGAGTAGATTTGTGAGTACATTTAGAGGTGGCAATATATGAAGGAGGCCGTGGAGGGGAGTGAGTGCGGGGTGTGAGTGAGATTCGTGAGAGAGAGTAGACTTGTGTGAATACACATGGAGGAGGCTGCGGGAGGAGAGAGAAGGAGGAATGTGGTGTGAGTGAGGTACGTGAGAGGGAAGGACTGCGGTGTGAGTGAAATTTGTGAGAGAGAGTAGACTTGTGTGAGTACACATAGAGGAAGCTGCGGGAGGAGAGAGAAGGAGGAATGCGGTGTGAGTGAAGTCCGTGATAGATAAAAATTGTGGTGTGAGGGAGAGGAGTGTAAATGTTCAGATTTGTGAGAGAGAACAGATTTGTATGAGTACACATGGAGGAGACCGCGGGAGGAGAGAGAAGGAGGAATGCGGTGTGAGTAGGAACACTTGGAGTATGCCGCGGGAAGAGAGAGAACGAGGAGCTTTGTGGGAGAGTGGAATTAGTGTAAGAAGAAGAAAGGAAAATATGGTTGGGGGTAGAGGTATGCTGGAAAATTAGATAGTAGGAAAGGGAGATCTGTGGAGTGTGTATGGTGGGAATTACTTATAGGTTGCTGTAAATTAGTGGCTGACAAGAGGAATTTGTTGTTGTGTGCTTGTTAAATGTTACTATGTGTCCTATAGGAGAACACCGACATTGGTTGTCACTACTAGAGGGGGTAGGTTTGGAAAATTAGAGAGTAGGAAAGGGAGATCCGTGGAGTGTGTATGGTGGGAATTACATGTAGGTTGCTATAAAGTAGTGGTTAGCAAGGGGAATTTGTTGTTGTATGCTTGTTAAATATTACTGAGTATACTATAGGGGGACACCGACATTGGTGGTCACGACTAGAGGGAGTAGGTTGATCACCGATAGTGGTGTTAGTCGAGAGATCCCGACGGACAGGGGGTTAGGTCGCCGATGTTGGTGATGAGAGAGAATAATAACTGTGTGTGTGTATGGCCTTTTAGGGGTCGACAGGTAGATAATGATCGCCGATGTTGGTGACGAGAGAATGATAATAGTATGAGTGTGTGGTTTGTTAGGGGTCGAGAGGTGGATGACGATCGTCGATATTGGTGATGGGTGAAAATGTTTATACGCTTGGGGTGGCATTGGGAGACAGTCACACTTGATAGGTATGATAGTTGAGATACCGAGGTAAGCTTTAGTCCTGAGTAGTCCCATGATGATAATAAGGTAGGGCTTAGGTTAAGTAATGAAGTACGTGTAGAAATATTGGATTTTATATTGTTGTATATCATACTTGTAACTTAATTTTTACTGTACTGAGTCATATAAACTCACTCTTTATTATTCGCAGATGATGTAGGAACGGAGTCCAGATTGGAGTTGCTGGTGTCTGAACCTAGTGTATAGAACGATAGGATAAAGAATTTCTGTTTTTGGCAGAATTGAGTGTGTAAAAGTTGATAGTAGTATAGATAGTATATACAATTGTACTTCGCGTGATGTATCATATATGATTGCAAGTTTATCTTGACTTTGAATAAGAGATCGTGATAGTGTTTCTATGTGCATAATTGATTTGATCGTGGAATTATTTGTTTTAACTACGCCATTAGAAGTGAAAAAAAAAATGAGGCGTTACATCTAATGATCAATTTGTTGATATAAAAGCTCTGCCTAATTATAAATTTGAAGATTTGAGAGTTAAATTTGGTTTGTTTAATAGAAAACTCAATGAGTGTTAAAGATTGAATTTTTCATAGAACAAGAAGCTGAATTTTTGTCATTTCAGCTCCAAAATTATCTATTTTCTACTTTTTTTTATGTTGATAACTTTAGGTGGTAAGTTGTCAAATAGGAATGGAGCTCCGTAATTTTTTGTTCATCCCCGTGCTTTTTTGATTTAATGATGATCCGCTTCAGAGTTTGTAGGATTAGTTGGTGACTTAGTATGTAAACTTTTTCCTCCACTTTGTATATATATATATGTATCAAATTAATGAAAAAATATAGGTCATTTTTTCAGCATGTTTCCCCATTCACTTTCCTCCATATTCTTCTATTTTTTGCAGAAATTTAATCCATTCATATCTCAACAGCCTCAAACTCAGAGCTTTAATAACTGATGCATATGAAGAGGGACCAATGTTTATTTCTCGAGGTTTGGACTTCAAAACAAGTATTGTAATCTATAATCATGGTCGTGGTCAGAGAGGAGGACAACTGCCTCACATACCCCTTCTTTTACTCTGAAAAGAGAAAGAAAGAACAAAACTAATCTTCTCTCTCTATCGATGAAGGAAGAGGGAAACAAACCTAAAAACCTTCGTTGAAAAGGGAATTGTGTGGTCTAGGTCCGAAGAAAAAGAATATATGGTGATATAAACCTTCCTCACCTGCCCCCTCTTTCACTCTAAAGAACGAAAGAATGAATGAATTAACAAAACTGATCTTCTTCTCTCTCTCCCGATGAAGGAAGAGAGAACCAAAGTTAAAAACCTTCGTTGAAAAGGAAACCGTGTGGTCTGGGTCGGAAGAAAAAGAATATACCAGTGATATAAACATGTTAGAAAGAAAAGATAAAACATATAGAAGTTGTTGCAGGTGGTTCGAAGAATATACTGGTGATATAAACATGTTAGAAAGAGAAGATGAAACATGTAGAAGTTTCTGCAAGTGGTTTTGAGGTGGAATATGTTAAAATCAATCTTTTACTCATGAGGTTGGTCTTCTAGTTGCTGCTTGTTGAACACTAGAGAATTTTAGAGAGACTTATTAGGGACTAATATGAGTTATGAATTACTGATATTTACTATAAAAATATTTTTTAGGTGAAAATAATGTTTGATTCTTTTTTTTCCTGTAAAGTATTAATTACTATAATTATTATAATTATTCAAGAATAATAAAGAATTTTCCTGAAATCTTTAATAATTTATTTGGGAACAATTAGTTTGATTTTAATTATTTTTGTAATACCCCAAGCCCGGAATTTAGCATCGGGATGACAAAAATTATCTTAATAATAATTTTGAAAATTTTACATTTTATTTTTTTTAGAATTTTTTGAGTTATATGCATTTTTAACGCGTTTGAAACAATTTTAAAAAGTCAGAGGTTAAACTGTAAATGAAGAGAGAATATATTTGAAATAAAAAAAAAATAGAGACCAAATCATAAATAAGAAAAATGTGGCCACGTGGGACAACCACATCAACAGCGCGACAAATCATTGTGTGCCACGTAACGGACATGTTAGCCCAGGTCCACGCGAGAAGCCACGCGGTTGATTCGCGTGCCAGGCTGATCAAACAGTTCAGGGCCTCTCCCGTGCGTGTGAACAGTCATGATCGATTCTCCGAATAAGCTTGATCGAATGGCTGCGTGCCTCCAATTGGAAGGTCCATATCAATTTTTCCATTAGGCAAGATCAAATGGTCTTTGCTACTCTATACGTTCTGCACGGACGACCCAGATTGAAGATTATGAAGTATTTAAACCTCGCTACCCGGCTCCTTAAAACCTTAGCTGCCGAGACCACAAGAGAATAAGATGAAGGGTGGGTGGAAAGTGAACCATTTGTTGGAGGAGAGGAAATTGGCCACCGCCGCCATTGCATTAGAGACCCAAACCGACGTCGGTAAGTATTTTTTTCCCATTTGTCCCGTTTTTCCATTCTAAACTACCTTAAACCTTTATCGATGCTGGAAAACCAAAGGCGAAGCCAGATACAGAGGGCGGAGCTCGGTTGAGCCGCTGTACCCGAAACCAAAAAATCCCTCTGTGAGCCTCGAACCCTTTTCCCATACCCTTTCGTTTCTCAACCATAAGTTATCTAACATATTTTTAGTGCAGGACAACCGAAGGAGGACTGCGACCATGGGGGAGGAGTAGTGGAGCTGCCGCACCAGAAACCGTAAATCGCTAATAAGTTTTGGTTTTCTTTTTTTTTCCACCAACAGAAGCCACTTAACCTTAAATTGCACAAAATTTCACCCAAAACTGGCTGAAACCAGCCTGGCCGAGAGGGGGAGCTGCCGTAGGCAGCAGGACCGGCGGCGGAGCACGGCGGCACTGCCTGCTGGAACCCTAAAACTGGCCCTAGGGAAAATTTTGACTCTTTTTGGTCATTTTTTGTGTATTTCTATGATATTTAACGCATGTTTTAGTTTTTACAAAAAAAAATCTAAGAAATCTGGGAACTAGGAATTGCCGAAAAGTGTAGTGAAAAAGACAATTTTTTAGACACCGACCTGAGGTAAGAATCTATTACCCTTTCTCCCATTACGGTTAAATTAAAGTTTAAATAAATGATAAACAAAAAATTATAAAAGTTGGCAACCCCTTGGTTAATTAAATACAGGTTACTGATGGAGCCAATAACCGATGAATGTATAATTGTTCCTAGCTTATATGTGTTGCCTATTTGTCGTCATATTGTTTTACTTGCGTACTGTTACTTCGTGTACTTTAATTTATTTATTTTAATTGCTCTTTTTATTTATTTAGTTTATTTAACCATTTTTATTTTTATCTGTTAACTTAGTTTGAAACCAATGTCTTAATTATGTTTTCTTGAATTATTGAGTATTAATTTATATTGCCTATTAAATGATCGTCCTATTGTCCTGTAATTTTGAAATGTGAATGTTGTATGCATTTGAGGGCTAAATAGTAATGGGGACTAGTATGTGTATGTAACGTGCCAAAAATTTAAAGGAGTTTACTGGGTGTCATAGAAAATGGTGTACAGACTTGGTACATAGGGTAAACGCTGTCATGGACGTTATCTTCAATCTGATGGAACTGAGGAATCCCATACCAAAAGAGGTTGGAAATTATTTGATTATGCTAATTGCCGAACGACATATTGAAACGGTAGTGTGTTTGACGTCCATTACCAGACGGGGTATGGAGACGACCAGTTGATTAATAGAATAGTTGATTAATAGAATAGATACTTGGTCCACATGTAGTGGGAACCCCTATGGACCCCTAGTAACACCAGTAAGTAAGTAAAAAGGTAAGAGTTGATTATTATTGGTCTTTTATAATATATGATGAGAATTACTATTATGCTTCTTTTCTTCATAAATAGTATCTGAGAACTTAAAGGTGAGTGAGAAATAAATATTTTTAAGTTAAATAAATTTACTTAAGAAAGAAAAATATGCTTCATTGATTGTTTTACGATTTCTACAAACATTTGATTTTTTCATACCGGTAGTAAAATATTGATATTCTTACTAAGATAATATAGTTCATCCTTTATTATTAATCATTTTATATCAGAACGACCAAAATCTGGATCCTGAACAATAAAAAAATTAGCAAAAAGGTTGCCTCCCATTTCTCCTAGTTATGCTGTGAAGGTTAATCACATAAGTTTTCGGTTTACATTTTTCTTTCTTTTATATTTTTCAATATGTGTTCTCGTAGTTCTATTGAACATTCTAATTAAAGTGTACAAGAAATGTGTCCCCAAATTTTAAATTATTTTTGTAAAACTAATAAATTTTAATATTATTATTTACCTAATTGTGAGTATTTACAATTTTTTTTTAAAAATTATTACCTAAATAATTTATAACATATAAGTTAGTTGTAACAAATATTTTCGTTAAAAATTATATTCGGTTAATGATAGCACAAGTGGTGTATCAAATTTATTTAGTTTTTACTTTTGATGTTTTTAATTAAAAAATATATCACTAATTCAAAATATTTCTGTTTTTGTGGTGGCTAAATTTTATTTTGGGATAATAGAAACATAAAGATGTTTTGATAAGTAGAGATTTACAACATATTTGGCTGGTTAAATGAAAACTATAATGTAATAGTTATTAATTAGGAAAAGAATGTGTTTGTAATGAAATTGTGATTACGTATTAATTAAATATATATTATTATAAGATTTTATGTACTATTTTAAATTTTTAATTTTATAAATTAAAAAATGCCAAAAGAAAGTGTCCTTAATTTTTCACATAATCTTCTATTTATTTTATTTTATCATATTAGTAACTAAAAAATGTAAAGAGAAAAAATAAAATAAAAAATTGAAAGAAAAAATATTGAATTTTAATTTAGTTTTGCTCTTCCCCTTCCTCTGCTTATTTTTCGTCGCACGGGCCAGGCCTGGAAATAAACTAAACCAGGCCTGAAAAACAACCCAGCCCGAGCCATTCTCTCATCTTTTTCTTGAGACCCAGCCCACACGAGGCCCTGCAAATACTCTTTATAAAAACGTTCCCCTTTCCCTCTTCCTTCGTCGACAGAGGGAGAAGAGATTAGTGTTTTGTTCCTTCTTTATTTCTTCAGAGTGAAACAGGGGGCAGGTGAGGAAGGTTTTTGAACTTTGGTTATTTCATACTTCATCGACAGAGAGAGAAAAAATCGGTTTTTTTTTCCTTTCTTTTTCAGACTAAAAGAGGGGGCAGGTGAGGCAGTTGTCAGAGACGATGATGATGGTGAATGATGATGCTATCAATGACGATTAATTCAAATTAATGAGTCGTCGCAAGAGGTAAAGAGGACGCAGATTTTGAGGGAGGTTCTTAGAGGGTCTGAAGAGCTTTCCTTTCCTTTGCACGATTGAGACGGAGGAGGAGGAATTTAGGGAAGCAAACTACCGGAAAACAGAAGGGGTTTTCTTCGGGAAGAAAGGGAAACATAAATAGATAGGAAGAAGGGAGACCCGAGAGTATGTTCCCTCCTATACCCTTTTTCTTTATATTCTTTTGGGAATTTTTGAAGTGTTTTGTAAAATTAATCTGAGATTTTTGCATTCTTTTTGAGTTTGGTATGGCATTTGGTATAATCCTTTTCAGTTGGGCATTATGTGATTTCATGGCTGTGTAATCTTGATTCTGAGACTCCTTATTTGTCACACCGACTTGAATATATTGAAACAGTTTTGATTTTGAATTGGTGAAAATGGTTAGTTTAATTGTTTATGGAAGAATTTATATTTGTAGCTACTTTTTTGTGTTGTGTTTCTGAATGGCATTGAATCAGTGGCGACTTCTTCATTGTTGTGTTATATTTCCCCTGAATTTCTGTTGAATAGGTCAATCTAATAACTAGTGTTATCCTGTTTACAATAAGATCAGTGGCAAGTCCTTTTTTTTTTTTTCTTTTTGGGAGTTTCGCACTGCATCACTGTGATGGCTTCTTCGACTTGGCATTTTGAATGCACTTGTTATAGTCTCTAGAAAGGCTTGTATCACAGGCTACCTATTAGTTCCTTTTTTATTTATACAATATGCTTTTTATCATATCCATGAGTGAAGTTTGTAGATTTATTTACGTTTTGAGGTGTATACTTTATTCTTATTGGTGTATTGTATTGATCATTATAAGCAACTCTGTTCATGAATTATAAATTTTATATTTAGATAATGGATAATAAGATTTTTAGTTAAGGGCTGTTTTTAAATTTATTGCATCTTATGATAAAATGTATTTGTTTGAATGGTTACAGATGGAGGATATGAACATTGATTTTGTGGTAGACATACCTGACACTCCTGATAGAATAATTTCATGCCAAACCAACACTGGGGAGCAAACTAGAAGAGATAGTAATTCAACAGTACTTGGTCTTTCAAGAAATTCTGGTCATATAGATGAAGAATGTTTTAATCAGCGAAAGGACAGTGGCATAGTATTTGAAAACGGGCAAGATAAAATACTTCATTTTCATCATCGGAAAGTTCCCAGGTCTGAAACCGAGGGTCGTAACAAGGATGGTGCACTTTTATTTAGGAAAGCAGCTGTGGAGAAGAACTCTGGGCATGAAAAAATGCATTTCAATGAAATACAGCACGTGGATAAGGAGAAAGCTACTTGTCCTCAGTTCCCTTCTAAGTTATCTGCTTTCCAAAAAGGTAAGAATGTTGCAGATTCAAACCAACACAAAATGCAAGACCATGTACTTGGAATGTCCTTCCCGCAGAATTCATCTAAAAATTTTCCAATTGAAGGGATCAGAGAAGCTCAAAATGGAAAAAATGGTGGTTCTTCATTACTTGGTGGTCGAAGTTCTCGCAAGACTGTTGGCATTGCATGTAAGGGGAAGGAGAAGATGGGTGGTATTACAAATGATATTTCAAATTCAGCTGCGGATAAAAAAGATGTTGATATGTCCAGTGAATCTCAACCTCAATTTGAGAAACGCCCATTACTGTCTCATCAGCCTATTAACCCCACTAGAGCCAATGGGCAGAGAAGATTGGTACGAAATGGTTGTATTTCTCCCCATGTCATCGCAGCTAGGGCTAAACAAGTAGTGGAACATCATTTGGACGGTAGTAGAGATAATGATATTGGACAGAGTCATAGTAGGAAGGTGGTTTCCAGTGATACCTCGCCGATAGATATCAGAGATATTGTCGCCGATGACAATGTTAGTAAAAAATTGAAGGGAAAGGGGGTATTATTCCACTCTCATACACTGAGAGAACCTGTTCGAGAAACTAATCACTTATCTTGCAGGTAAATTTTTATACAGTGGTCTTCCCTTGTTAAATTTATTTATTTGATTGAATAAAAAATCTCTTTTTTTTTGGAATATTACTCATTTTCATTTAACTTTATGACTGAAAGAACTTATTGTAAAGCTAGTTACTTTGTCTTGCAGGTAAATTTCTACACAGTTATATTTCCTAGTTAAATGCATTTATTTTTTCAAATAAATAATATTTTTCTTTTGGGAGGGGTTGTTGGGCTTAACACCAATATGCAATGGATTTAGAAAAAGTCAGAAACCAAAATGTCTACAAGGTTCCAAGTGGATATTCTTGTTCTATCTATTACCTAGGTATTAGCTATTTTGACTATTTAGGTAGAAAGCATGAGCATAAGCTGAATAGTTAGCATGAAGAAATTTTATTCTAAATAAGCTGTATGAATGATCATAAAAATTAACGATGATGTTGGGTTCATCAATTGTTTCTAGTTCAAACAACTTTTGCCCTATAAAATTTTGATCTTTAGCCGTCAGCTTGGGAATTATATAATTGTTTTACCATATTTATTTACTTCATGTGCTTCTTTAGGCTCTAAATCTAGTATTAGTTTGCTCTATCTGGGTTGACTCAAAATTCTGCATCGACATGTTAACATTTTCCATCTTTGTATCTTTTTAGGGATGGCAACAAGCCGATCCTAGCTCAGTATTTGGGCATTTGGGTTTAATTTTTTCGAATTCTGTCAAGTCCGGATTTGCTTGAAGCTTGATCCAAACTTTGTTTCAGGTTTGAGGCTCGGTTTATTTAGAAAAACATAGAGTTTGGATCTGTCTAAAGGAGATTGTGGTAGAAAGCTAAATTTTGATGAGAGTCAAACTCGTAGTTGAGTAAGCTTAAACTATATAAAATCAAGTTCAATAAAAAGTTTGTTAGGTGTCCTTTATCATTGTGAAAAAAAATTAAAAATATTTTATATTTTAATAACATTAAAATAAATTTAATTTGTTAGTAGATAAGATGACGAATCTATAGGCTCAGGTCCAACTTGTTTTGGCCAAACAAACTCTTCTTCATGCTTGAGTCCAGCTCGAGTTCATTTATGATGAACTCCGATCAAGTTTTGATTGAGCTGAATTCAACTAGTTTGGGAATGTGTTAAGCTCATTGCAAGTCCTATCTTTACAATTTCTGTTTTAAAAACATACTGAATTTATCACATGGTGTCATGACCCGGTTACATGGTTCTGTTTTAACAAAGTATGCATTCGGGTTTGATATAAAGAGAGGGAGAGTGGGAGGAGAAATAGAAGGATTTGAGAGAGATAGAGTGAAAATAGCAAGAGGAAGAAATATAAAATTAGAGAGGAAAGATAGATATTGAAAGAGAGATAGAAATTTGAGGGAGATAATGATAATGTATTTAAAATATTTCATTAACTGGTGGATTACATAGATGAAAATAGGTGATTTATATAGAAAAGACAGATGCATGAATAAGTAAATAAAAAATCAATATTCCATGGAAGGCTAAAGGGTTGTAGAGGAAATTTCTATATTCATTGGATGAAGATAGAAGAGGGAGTGACTGGTTAGCTAAGAGTTTGAAAGGATCAAAGACCTCTTGGGTTTGAATTTTCTGCAGACATTTCTATAGTTCTTTTCGTGCCCCCCTTGCAAATTTTATATTTCCTAGTATATTATTCTCTATTTGCATTCAGATCCTTACACATGGCAAGTTCTATCTTTATTAGTTTATGTTTTAAAAACGAATATTGAATTTATCACGTGGATACTCATTTTTTTAAAGGTTCTCATCTAAAGTGGTAGTGTCTCTTCACAAGCTGTCTTAACAAATACTGTTGGTTCATGGCTTGCTTGCCTGCATCTATTTAGGATATGTTTTTGCTGCTTATGTCATGTTATGCATGGAAAGCCTAGTTATGGTCTTGCTTTTATTGTTGAGTTTGTTCATGTTAGAATATCACAAAATATATTACGAAATATTTTTATGTAATTATTAGTTGATGTTCTAGTATTAATAGGGTGATTTATGTTTTCATGTATAAACCCTTCTTCTATGTATATATACCCCTAACTCTATGTAATGAATGTATAAAATATTTAGAATTTCTTTCCCTAAATCTTACATGATATCAAAGCTAGGGTTAGGGTTAGGGTTTTAGGCGTCAAATTACATCAGATTAAAATAAGGTTTAAACAACCCATTTTCGATGCCAGAGGAAAACAACCACCGATCTTCGGACAGTTCAGAGTGCGGCCAGCACAGTGGTGTACGCGGGAGAAGCTGTGGAAGTAGTTCGCACGGCGGTTTGAGGCTGCGTGCGACGGGATTGCCGGAGGAGAGCATCCCTGAGCGTCTTGGGTTCCCATTCGAGGAAAGAAGGCACAGAGGAGCTCGTTCAGCCGGTTCTGTGCATGAAACCAGAAAGCCGAAGAAGGGAAAGCTACAACGGAGGAGATCGTGTGATAGCAAGCGATTCTCCGCTTTTTGATACGGTTTAGGGCATTTCGGCGAGCGTTATTATGGATCAGGGTGTTCATTAGGGTTTTGTGGTGATTTTCGGCTGAAAAGAGGAATTTTAGTGTTTTCTGGCGGCGGCGCATGGTTTTCCGGCGACTGCACGTGAACTTCAATGGTATCGTGTGCGGCAGCGTGTGAGCTCCGGTGGTAGCAGTGTGGTTCTCTTGGGTTTCCGTGTGTGAGGAAGTATTCTGTTTTCTCAAAATTACTGTCTTATTTGCACTCTTTTTCCAGTATCTTTGACTGTTGTGTTTTAAGTATTTTGAGTGACATATTTCTTGTAATTCCTGAATTGGAATGGATATTGTCTGCTACTACTACCGTGAATAAGGGCATATAAATGGTATTGTAATAAATTGCCTAATCACAAAATACAGACTGCTAGTATTGTTACTGTTATTGCTAGCTCATCTTCTAAAAGAATTATTATGATTTCAGCTGACGAGTATGCTAAATTCACTCAGTATCAGGAATTTTTGAATAAATTTTTTGCTTTCATTGAATCAGAAAAAAAATGTCTTATCTATTCGAATAGATGGGTAATTGATTTTGGTGCTACAGATCACATGACAGGTAATCCTATTATTTTTTCTAGTTTTCGACCATATAAAGCACATTTTTCTGTAACTGTTGCTGATAGGTCGACTTATAACATTGTGGGGTTCGTGACTACAAAACCAATTTCATGTATTACCTTGTCATTTGTATTAAGTTTACCTAAAGTTGTATTCAATATGATTTCTGTGAGTAAGTTGACTAAAGATTTGAACTGTTGTATTACATTTTTTTCTGATCACTATGTTTTTCAAGATTTTACGACGAAACAGATTATTGGTAAAAAAAATATGTCAGATGATCTCTACATTCTTGATACCTGGGTGTCTCGGCCGGTTGCATACTCTAGTGTTACATCTCTATTTGAAGCACATTGTCAATTAGGACATCCCTCTCTACCTGTGTTGAATAAGTTATGTTCTCAGTTCCATGATATACCTTTGCTATATTGTGAGTCATGACGGTTTGTAAAATATCATCGTAGTTCATCAGGTTCAATAGTCAATAGACGAGTTGAGTATGCTTTTGAGTTGGTTCATTATGATGTTTGGGACCCCTATCCTGTTGTGTATAAAACAGATTTTAAGTGTTTTGTTACCTTTGTGGATGATTTTGCTTGAATGATTTGGATATATTTTATGAAAAATCGTTTTGAAATTTAATGTTTCTGTGCATGTATTGAGAAGTGATAATGTCAAGAAATATATATTAGACTCATTTCAGAACTATATGACTCAACACGAGATCTTTCACCAATTCTCGTGTATTGATACACCATCTCAAAATGAAATTGCTGAAAAAAAGAACAGACATTTATTTGAGACGGCTGGAGCGCTCTTGTTCCAAATGCAAGTCCCTAAGCAATTCTGGGTTGATGCTATTTCCACAGCATGTTTCTTGATTAATCATATGTCATCTATAGTACTTGATGGAGATACTCCTTACAGTTTTCTTTTTTCAAACAAGTTTTTATTTCCGGTGTAATATAAGATATTTGGTAGTACTTGTTATGTGTGAGATGTGCGATCTAGTGTGACAAAATTGGATCCAAATGCCCTAAAATGTGTATTTTTGGGATATTCTCGCATTCAGAAAGGATACCGGTGCTACTCTCTAGATCTCAATAAATATTTGGTATCAACTGATGTGGTTTTTTCAGAGAATACATCGTTTTTCTCCTTATTGTCCAAATCTACAAGTCAGGGGTCGGACGATGAGTGACTCATTTATAATTTCTCATCACGTGCCTTTGCTGAGCAAATAGATAATGGTATTTCTCTACATGATGTGTTTCCAACCTTACTTGAGCAAGTTGATGATTCCAGAAGACAACAAATTTGTGATAAATGTCCTGCACTAGGTTCATTGTAATCTGATACTGCCTTACAGGACCTTGAGCTCTCCATTAATGTTCGTAAAGGTAAATGTCAGTGCACTATTCCTTAGCCAATTTATCCCATTGCTAACTATGTTTTGTATGACTATCTGTCTCCCTCGTCTACTTCTTCTATTGCTTGTATAAAGTCAATTTCTATACCCAAGATAGTTAAGGAAGTTGCATGAGGAGATAAATGTTCTCGATGAAAATTATACTTGGGATTTGGTGGATTTACCCCAAGGAAAAAGGGTTGTGGGGTGCAAATGGGTTTTTTCAATCAAAGTAAACCTAGATGGTTCAGTAGCAAGACTTAAAACACGACTTGTAGCAAAAGGCTATGCTTAGACTTATGAGGTTGATTATTCTGATACCTTCTCTCCAGTGACAAAACGTACATCTGTCTGTTTATTTATCTCAATTACAGCATCTCACAATTGGATTCCTGCATGGCAACCTTTTAGAAGAACTGTATATGGAGTAACTACCTGAGTTTGTTACTCATAAGGAGCATGAGAAAGTCTGCCATTTGAAGAAATTTTTGTATGGACTAAAGCAGAGTCTCTATGCGTGGTTTGGCAAATTTAGTGAAATAGTTATGGAATTTGGATTGAAGAAGAGCAAGTGTGATCACTCGGTCTTTTATAGATAGTCAACAGTTGGTCTTCTACTCCTTGTTGTCTATATTGATGATATTGTTATTATAGATGATGACTGTGTAGAAATATTCTCTCTCAAATCATTCTTACATCCCAACTTTCACACTAAACACTTAGGTCAGTTAAGATATTTCTTAGGAGTAAAAGTAACTAGAAACAAGAAAAAGATTTTCTTATCTTAGAGGAAGTATGTACTTGATCTACTTGCAGAAAGTAGAAAGTTGGGGGTTAAACCGCATAACACCCCAATGGTACCAAATGTACACTTTGTTAAAGATGATAGTGACTCCCTTGATGATCCGGAAAGGTACAGACGATTAGTTGGAAAACTGAATTATCTTACAGTTACTCGTCCAGATATTGCATATCCTGTCTGTGTTGTTAGTCAATTTATGTATACACCTACAGTCAAACATTGGGAGGCTTTAGAACATATTTTGTACTACCTAAAAGGTGTTTCAGAACTTGGTATACTGTTTAACAATCATGGGTACACTCACATTGAATACTTTGCAGATGCTGATTGGGGTGGATTTAAAATTGATAGAAAATCCACTACAAATTATTGTGTTTTCATTGGTGGGAACGTGGTATCATGGAGGAGTAAGAAACATACTGTTGTGTTCCAATCCAGTACAGAGTTTGAATACAGAGCTATGGCCCAGTCTACATGTAAAGTCTTATGGATACAACACCTCTTAGTGGAAGTGGGTTTGAATTCTATATTACCTGCAAAATCCCTGGTGTGATAATTAAGTTGCTCTTCATATTGTCTCAAATCCGGTGTACCATGAAAGAACTAAACACATTGAAATTGATTGTCACTTCATTCGTGAGAAGATTCAGTAGAATTTGATTTTTACCAGTTATGTGAAAACATGGGAACAATTATGTGATATATTCACAAAAATTTTGAATGGAACCCGAATTGAATATTTTCGTAACAACGTGGGATATGATCAATATCTATGCTTC